GTTAATAGGCTTCTCCTTAATATCTCTGGAAATTTCCACCAGAATTACAGATAGCCACAATTTCATTTCTTACTGAATGCAGGAAGTGTCCATTTGGAAGAAAGCTGGGTCCACATACAAATCCAGAACTTCTTTTTTCCAGGCTCGTTTAGTGTAGGCATATCCACTGAGGGAGCTGAGCAATTGAGCACCAGCCCGGAAGCTAGGGGCATTGTAGGCACTGCAAATAAACCTCAAATATTAATATTCAGGACACACACCCCGACCAAGTGAGTGAACTTCAATCTTACTTCTGACTAATAATTTACTTCAAATTCTGTTTGCTAGATCTAGAAGAGGTTTTTTCCCCCTAGCACTTAGGAAATGAAGATTTCTTCCAGCTGAACTGGAATGAACCATTACATGGCAAAATGCTATTTTGCCTCTTTTCAGATGGCCCTGAAATCTTCTGCAAAATTTAAGATTACTGAAGTTTCCAGTCCTTATTTTAAACAGAAGGACTGACCGATGGCGTGCGCATGCACACACGAACACAATCACATTAGGACCTCAGTACTACACTGTTTGCAACAGATTCGGTAAGCAGGGCATTTCATTCCTACAGATTCCCCTCAGAAAAGCAGTTTACTATTATTAGTAACTAGCCAATTAGCCCATCATCAGATGGGATTTTCAGATCTCTCCTCTATGTCTCCTCTCTTCTCTCCTGAGCCTCCGGTCTCTCGCTCCATGTCTTTCTCTCTCTCTCTCCTCCTCCTACTGCCTTCCTCCTCTCTCTCTCTCAGCTCTCCTCCGCCTTCAGCCTCTCTCTCTGTCTCTCTTTCTCTTCTCCCCCTCCTGCCTCTCACTCTCTCTCCACTCTCCTCTGTCTCCATCGGGGATGCACGCTCATCCAGGCCCTGCCCATGTACATCACCGCCCCGTCCCCCTTCACCTCCCGCCATGGCACTCAGATGACTTCTGCGCTGCTAAGCCAGGCTTTTGCAGGGGAGCAAGCGGCCGTTTGGGCTCCCCCGCAGTGGCCCGGCTGGGCAGCACAGAAGTCAGCCAAGCGCCATGGCAGGAGGCGAAGGGGAATGTGAAGGGGGGCGGGGTGGTGACATACACGACCAGGCCCTGCCCCCTAGCCATGTACGTCACCGCCCCGCCCCCCCTTTCTCCCCCGCCATGGCGCTCGGCTGACTTCTGCGCCACTCAGCTGGGCCGCTGCAGGGGAGCAAGCAGGGCGTGTACATCAGCGTTACAGACGCACAGACACTGGGCTACTATATTATTTATATATGATTAGACAAGATCTAATCATTAGGGAATTGTATTTCTAAGGAAAATGGAAAGTGCATCCTATCTGGCTATTGGCTGATGGTCAACAACTTATCTACAGGACTCCTGAATGAGCAAGGTTATAGATCCACTACAACTACCAACCCAGAGTCTTGCAAAAATTGTTATCAAAGTTCATCTGATTGTCTGTGTTTTGTGATAATCATGATTAACTTGTGTTATACTTTCAATAAATAAAAATAACTTTTTTTACTTAAAGTCCTAAAAGGGGCACACACCTTATTCATATACTGTAGGCACTCTTCATGTGTGTTAATTTAAGTCAGCCAACAACAAATCTTTCACCTTAAACAAATTTTAATTTCTCTCATATTCCCATTTTTGAAATTCATGGGGAATAAAGTTGATCCTTGAATTGAGCCATGAAGATCAGACTAATATTTAGCATGATTAATGGAATATATAATATAAATATATAACCAGGACTATTACCTGTGATTGCGCAGATAAGGAAATACATAATAGAGGAGGCGTGAGATTAATGGCACAGCTTTCTCTTTTTCATCGCTACGGTAAACCATGTCCAGGAGAGATGCAAGAACCTTCAGAAAACCAAAGTCCCACATGAGACCAAATGCACCCCATATCCATACCCAACATGCCATTATAATAATCTTTGTGCAAAAATAGGCTTTGTGAGGTGGTATTTGAAAACTAACAACTTGCTGGTCAAGAATATCATTGTGAAATATATGTACTAACATTATATATTGACTTGTAAATATAAGCTTAAATTATGTCGGACGTGTGTTTACCAAGACAAGTCTGGGAAGTGAGTAAGCCTGTTTCTCAAAGACGGGACAAGCTGACTCCTCTAGACAGATTTATCAAAACTTATGGGTAATCACCTATCAGCGGCCACTCTTGGGCAAGGACAGAGGACAATAACAAACAGATTTGCATCTTAGCAACCAGCATGGAATCTCTTTCACCAGACTCTTTGTCCCTGCAGCCGGAACAAACATTATCTGGGAGTAACTCAGGAAAATGCATTTCAAAAGGGGATTGAACAACAAGAGTGAGGGGCAAAAACACCTCAGATGACAAAAGAAACAGCTTTTGAAATCTGAGACTGGTTCCTCACCTGGAATTTGGTTAGCCAAATTACTGGGAGCATGTGTAAGAATTTTATCTTGAACCAAATGTAGTCTGCTAAGTTTTAGCATGAAGAAGTGTTTTATCTTTAATTCTGTTTGACTATTTCCTTGACTTTAAAGCTTTATACTTGTACTCAAAGTTTCTCTGAGTAGTGAAATAAATTTGTTTTATTCTTTAAACTAAAACGAATCCAACATTGTTGATTGTGTGGGTAACTCCATTTATGGTAGCAGCATGGTGTTCTGCATACAGGCAGTCCCCGGGTTACGTACAAGATAGGGACTGTAGGTTTGTACTTAAGTCGAATTTGTACTTAAGTCGGAACTGGCGTCCAGATTCAGCCGCTGCTGAAACTGACCAGCGGCTGACTACAAGCAAAGCCGCGGAGGACCCGGGTGGCGGGAGCGCCCAGACGCGCTGCGGTCCCGCCCGGGTCCTCTGCGGCTTTGCTCTGCTTCTCCCCAGTCTGCTGGGCTCCCCCCCACCAGCAGACCAGGGAGATGCGGAGCAGCTTTTCTCATCCCGGAGGATGCGGGCGGTGGGACCTCGGCACGTCTGGGCGGTCCCACCGCCCGCATCCTCCGGGACGAGAAAAGCCCCGTTCGTAAGTACGGATCCGACATAAGTCGGATCCGCGTAACTCGGGGACTGCCTGTATTAATACTCTGCAAGAAGAACAGGAGTGGGCAATAATTTTTGACCAGGGGGCCACTTCAGAAATTTTTGAAATGGCTCCGGGCTGCCCCAGAAGGGGCGGGGGCTCAGGAAGAAGGGGTGGGGCCAGGACACTTCCATGCTTCCCTGCCCATAGACCCTGATTGGTCTGGGAATGGGGGAGCATGTGATGTCTTTGCCTCCCTCTCCCCTCTCCCACCTCCGAAGAACTTCCAGCTGAGTTCCAGGTAGGTGCTGAGCCCCTTGCAGGGCGGGAGGAGACTTTGCGCACTTCCCCCCCATACCTAGATCCTGACTAGCCCGGGGCAGGGGATCAGCAGGTCCTCTACAGGGTGGATCAATCCACTTGGTGGGCGAGATGCACCTAGTGGAGTCCCTTTTGCCCATCCTGATCTAATATATATGGACTGCCAGTAAAGGGCTCTATAGAGCAGAACACACATTTTTGGGGAAAATCCAGGACTGGAAGTGTGGTGGGGGTCACCCAGCAAGTGGTAACCAAGGCTGGTGGAAGCCAGAGCGAGGGACGTGTGGCTGATAGGCTGCAGCTACATACAGATACTCTCAGGCTGTTGTAGGCAGCAAAGCTGTTAGTGAGCAGCCCAGGTAGGAGCTACAGCAGCAAAGCACTTGTGAGGTGCCTAAATTTGCAGGGTGGATGCGATAGCCCCTCACTGATCTGGACTGCATCCTGGAATGTCATACCACATTAAGATGCAATAGACATTTTTGGAGAGGGAGGAATGTTAAACTTCAGAAACATTTAACAACAACCTGTCTTTCCTCCCCTATCAAACACTAAAATAAATCCAAACATTAGTTTAGCTGTATAAATTGTTAACCAGTACATGTATAGAAAAATGGCAAGCTTGTATTTTTTTAGCTTACATGCCTGACTCCCATAAAGCTCTGCGAAGTTATACTAAGGGATGGTTCTCATATAGGCCCAGGATTCCCAGCATCCTTATCAGTTCTGTTAAGGGAACTAAAGGGTAAACCTAACTTTGAGTATATTCAACTTATATAAGCAATGGAATTGTATCTCAGCACGATCTATCTTCATAAACTATTTTTACAGTTGCAGAGAGCAGTTTAATGAGCTAGTAAATGAAGCAAATGCTTGGTTCCAGTGCTTGAATAATAGGTTATGAATTTGTAATCAAGATGACAAAACCATAAATGAGTCCAGCAGTTCCCAACCTTTTCCAGATGAGGACCCATTCTGACAATTCAGGAAGACTTGGTCATTCAAGGCAATTCAAAAATGGGGGGAGAAGGAAGGGCAGAGCCACCTGGGGAGACACTTGGTGACCCTTTTAAAATGTAATAGCAACCCATATTTGGGTCCCGACCCATAGGTTGGGAAACCCTGGAGTCGACAAACATGACTGAAGGAAATGAATTTAGTACTAAGCATGAAGTTTTGCATATGTTATAGTGAAAAAAATGGAAAAATTACCCATAAGTTATATCTGTATTGAGTATAGAACAGAACACATAGGGGACATGAATCATCTTGCTTGTGTACAAGAAAGTTGTCAAATGTATGATTATAACTGGATAACATGTATGTAACCAACTGCCAAGGACAAAGTTGACATAAGTGTTACATGGGAAACAAGCAGTATAAATGCACAAACAGAGAGGGTATAAAAACCCCACAGAATTGCAACATATTGGGACCGAACCAAGCTGCAGAATCATCCCCAGGAAGCTTCAAGTACACATCTTTGCTTGTTTTCTGTATTGCCCTGATTAATCTTAAATGCATAGTCTTTGATTAATAAATTGGATTAATCTTCATTTAATGTCTTGTTGATCAATAAGGCAAAATTTAAGAGGAATTCAATTTGTCCTACTTAAGAAGAGGTGTAGGAACTTTGCATCTTACTTCTGCAAGAAGAGCAAGAGCTTGAACACTGTATATGGAGGGAGCAGAGGCAGGCACCATTGAAGATGGCATTAGTGAAGCATCTGAAAAAAAAAAAGCAAAAAAAAAAAAGCAAAATGTTTAATTTGCATTGTGAATCAGAATTCATTGTGGCAAACCTAAACAGTTCAGGATTTGTTTGAACCCTATCTGAATTATACTTTGCGTACTTGAGTTGCAGTGAAGTACTGCTTGCAACCCTGCCAGCTCCCGATATACATGATTTTACAGGGATTATTCATTGTATCATTTTAAACTTCCTTAAAGCCATAAACATATGCCAGCATCTAGTAAATAGGTGTTAAAAAAGTTAGTATGTCCGAGGATAAAAACATCCAGCCTCAAATCTCGAAGTTACAGGTTTTGAAAAAAGTGTGAAGGCATATTTCAAATAATTAAGCATCTATGAAACTAATGCACTGTCAATCACATTTACTGTGATTACATATGCATACTTTAAAGCATTTGACTGTGAAGACCTGAGGAAAAATGAAAAATTTACTAGAAAACACTCATTCAAAATTCCTTACTCAAAGGGATGTACTTTTCACAGTTGATTTAGATGGAAAATGAGGTGTTATTGTTTGGGTGACTAACTGAGCAGCCAAAAAGAACCCAAAGCAAACCAACCACCTTTTGGTGTTTTTGGTTTGTTTAAACAGCGAAGGTCACTTAAAGAATTCCAGCTACTGTAAGGTTAAGAGGTGTGGTCATTATGTGGCTACACATTAGCTCCATGCCCCGGAGACTTCCATAGTAGTGTTTGCTGGAACAAGCCAGTGCCCCACCCCTTCTCATGTTTTGAGGGGTTGCTTTAAGAGGCAACATGAACGGACCCCCTTGTCATTTCCTGCTCTACAGCAAATTAGTTGAAGGTGACAGCAGAAAGGAAGGAGGGCAGATCACGGACTATCTACAGGGACTACATATCTCAAAGAACTCCAGTGGCTACAAGGCAAGTAAAACTGCTTCTCCCTTCATTCTCTTGGTAATGGAGGCAAATAATCTGAGTTCAGATTTGCTCTGATAAATTATGTAGCATGTGTGGGGGTGAAAGTGGACTTTTCTTGATTTTACTTCAAGTCCCAAGGTCTGAAAGCGTTGACTGCAGCCTGCACTTCCTGACACAACCATCCTGTGAGCTGCCAATGCTTTTAGACAGGGATCTACTGGAGTATCATCTTGGTGCAAGTACGCTGCCATCATGACAAGACCTTTGTAAAATACTCTGAGTTGAATAGTCCTTGGGACTTGAAGTAAAATCAAGAAAAGTCCTCCACACATGCTACATCCCTTCTTTAGACTGTCTGGGCTCACTCACGTTCTTGGTCATAACAGGACTGAGCAGAAGGAGAAAGGTTTAGTATCCTTCTCTCCACCCTGGAAGAGTACACTCTGTCGTAGCAGGACTGGGATTAAAGGAGGAGATTTAGTGATCTCCAAATCCACTAGGTGAGGTTCTTTCTGATAAATAGAGGACAATAATAACTTGTGACCAGTCCCAAACAAAAACATACTGGGATAAGTAGACTGGGTACATTGGTGTAAGAGTTCAGAAGCAATCAATATATAACATACTGAAAGTAGTAGAAGAGTATTCAGGAACATGGAAGTAAAAATCTAAGAAAGAGATCCCTCATGAAGAGGAAGAGAAGAAGAGTTCACCTTTGGAACAAATATTGCAAAGGTTTGGGTACAGCCCATAGTCTGACAATGCCTGATGTTTACACCATTGCAGACCTTGGGAACATAGCTGATGTTTATACCATTGCAGACCTCGAGGACAAATTGGTTAAATATTTGCTGGTTTACAGACCCTTAACCTCAATACAAAGAGATACTGATATAGTCACATTTAAAAGACTAGCTGACTGCAGGAATTAAAAAAAAATTCAGATTTACCCAAGAAAAGGGAGGGAGAAAACTTCTGATGGTAGGACAAGAAGCAATGGGCTTAAATTGCAGCAACGAAGGTTTAGGTTGGATATTAGGAAAAACTTCCTGTCAGGGTGGGTAAGCACTGGAATAAATTGTCTAGGAGGGTTGTGGAATCTCCATCACTGGAGATATCTAACCTGCAGTTAAATAAGCATCTATCAGGGATAGTGCTTGGTTCTACAGGGGACTGGAATTGATGGCCTCTCAAGGTCCCTTCTAGTTCTATGATACTACAAAAAGGGACCAGGAAGTGAGAGAGGGCAATTGAGGAGTTCATCCTCCTTGCTAAATCGATAGTGAAACAAGCCAGTTTAAATGGAAAAGGATGGTTCAGCTAGGAAAGCAGCATAGGGCCCAGACAAGTAGGCAGGTAACAGTTGCTGGAAGCCCTGGAGAGGGTCATAGTGACAGGAATAAGAGAAGCAGTAAGTACAAGCTTGGGAAACTCCAATTCCTGGAATAATACTTGGAATGGTAATTTCTAAACTAATGAAGTTGCCATTTTGGGGAATGAGCTAGTGATTTAAGGAAAAAAAAGAGTAAAATTAATTTTGCAGAATTTGATGGGAATTAAAAGCAGTTAACGGTTGTATAAATAGAGGCAAAGTGTTATAGGAAATTTTTTTTTTGGTCTTTTTGCAGCCATTCTAAAGGAAAAAGGGCTGTTTCCTAAATAAATGGTCTATAAAGTTTCAAATAAAGACACAGCCTGATTTAAATACTTTGACTACAGATAATTTAGTCAAAGTCACTAAAATAATCACCTCCGAATGTATAAAAGGGAATGTACTACTGTGTAAAAATAATTAAAGCAGTGCAAGAAATATTAAGGAAAGAAAAATGCATATCAGTACATAGGTTTCCATTTGTGTGTGAAAATACATATGTATACAAGTGTAAAATTTTGAAGGCCATCATCTACTACTGGTTTGTGAAATCCTATTTATACCTTTGAGATGCATTTGTTTTTTTTTTAAATTAATGCCACTAAAAATCCATTTGAGTTTTTCATTCAAAGTTGCAAAATTGACGAACACTTTTTGCCAGACACAGATAATTAGCATTGTTTGATTTTGGTATTTAGCATTTAACTCATAAGATACTTTATAAAGTGTAACATTTTGAAACAGAGACCAAAGGCATGAATGTAATAAAGGTCAGCCAGAGCTGCAGTGATAAATACATAAATAAAAATAGAGAAAGTGCTCTCTGAAGCAACAACAGGAGTAAGGTGTACAAAGAATCAATATTAAAAAAAACACTAAACCTTAAGGAGGTTCTAGTCCAAGTAATCTGACTGTTACTCTAATGAAAGTACATGAAACCTCTAAGCAAACAAGCACGCACACACACGCACACAGAAAAAAGCATTAAAGCTATAATGTTTCTTAGCAATTGCTTGTAAATAAGTTTAAAGCTGAGCACAGCAGAAAAAAAAAATCTATGACAAGCCTAATCTGTTGTATAAGAAGGGAAATTGAATTACAATACCTCATGAGTTTAGCAACTGAACACTTGGGATTATTTTTAAGATTTAGAATAAATTAAGCCATTGAAGGATGACCTACCTATGAAATAAAAACCACAACAAATTATGGGGCAATTCCTTTATGTTTGCCTGTAATCAGCAAGAAAATTTGCCAAAGAAAAGTAGTATTTTAAACCATAATCTGTCACTCCCCTCACCCAAACAGGGTTGACAAATGTTTTTCTGGTCTTTCAGAACTTTAGAGGAAAACAAACAAACAAACAAACAAACAAACAACAAAAAAACGGTACCAGATGAGGAGCAACTCAGAATACCATGAATCTATTGTCAACAAAAATTCTGTTTTGTATCTGTGTTTGTTTTGCTGCTAACATTATTATATATTGTGTCACACACACAGATTTTAAGCACTAAAATTACCAAGAAAATAAGGGTATGTAGGGTACGTCTAGACTGTCGCCAGAGGCATGTAGATTAGGCTACCAGACATAGGAAAATGATGCGGCGATTTAAATAATCGCCGCTTCATTTAAATTTGCATGGCTGCCGCGCTGAGCCGACAAACAGCTGATCAGCTGTTTGTCGGCTCAGCACGGCAGCCATGTAAATTTAAATGAAGCGGCGATTATTTAAATCGTCGCTTCATTTTCCTATGTCTGGTAGCCTAATCTACATGCCTCTGGGAACAGAGGCATGTAGTCTAGACGTACCCTAAGTCAACTACACCTGGATATAGAATTTGGAAAGAGAAGGCAGGCAAGTAGACCAAGGAAAAGGAAAAGCACTTCTTAAACAGAATTCCACCCTAAACACTTTAAAGCCATGGCTCCAGTTTTATGCTTCCTGACCAGTCAAGGACATGTGTTATCTGGCTGGCTGCTAATGATGTAGCATTATCAGCTACTCAGCTGGAAAACTGGAGCCTATAGCCTACAAATCAAAAGACTGCAGGGCACAGAATTAAATGTTAATTACTGTGAGTATGAATGCCTAGCAGCTGTCTGGACAGTACAGTTCTTTGAGCCACTAATAGGTCTGAGTCTCATTACTATCCAGAGTTCTTACACTTTGTCAGGCAAATTAATGGAAAATAAAGTTTCCAATACCAATAAGGCTCAGTGTGTCCTCATTCCAGTCAACAAACTAAAACTGTGTTTAAACTAGGTGTCCTGATCCAGGTTTCAGTTGAAAACAAACAAACGTGCGCTAAAAGATCACTTTGGATCAATGGATTGCCTTAGTGCAGACATAGTGGGCCAGGAAGAACACATCTGGTAAACTGAGGGAAGCTCAATGATAATGAAAGGAAAGCGATGGAGTAAATATGCAGTCATTAACCTAAAGGAAAAGGTTACTTAGGGGACCGGAACTGTGGTTCAACACTGAATGCTGAACACACTATATTATTATACCAAGTTTTAAAGCAAAATGAAGGCTCCCCCATAGCTATATCTATGCTGATAGTAATTTTTTGTGAAAGGGAATAAAGTATTGAAATAGTGGCAAAAATAGGTATATGCAGCTGATGAAAAGAATACTGCATATTTGGAGAAGAAGTGAAAATAAATCTGGAAGTTATAAATAATTGTAATCATGTGAAAGCACATTTAAAAATGC